ATTCGCAGAAAATTAAAATTCTCGCCAAATTGTTCTCGGCATGTTTCTGTGCGATTGCAAGCCCAGAAGTACCACATGCCCACGCGACCTTGTGCAGAATTTCGTGCCATTTTCGGAATGTACCAATGGGCAAAAATCCGACAACCGGCTGAAAGTTATGCCCGTTTTCATTCACGCTGCTCGTTTTCTTTCCAAATATCTTCCAAACCTTGAATCCAACTCGTTTCTTCTCCAGAGTCCTTCACGAAACTTGAACCTTGGCTTGTCAACTTCTTTAATTTGGACTCCAAAACTCGACCACGTGATTGTCTATCCCGGATCATATCATTCCTACTGTGCAAGAAGGTAAAAATAATAGGGCATCATTGATCGTGTTGGATGCATGAAAACATTTTGATTTTCTATGTAAGTATTAAACACTAAACGAATTGAACAATACACTATACAATGTGCATCGTACCATGAAATCTGCTAAGGAATTATGGGAGTCCTTGGAGAAACAACACAAGGCTGAAGATGTTGGTACAAAGAATTTCATCGTCAACAAGTAATTACTTAATTACTTATTAGTATGTTCATATATAAATAAGCAAAAGTAAGTTTTCAAAAATATATTTTCTGTTGATTAATGTTGAAAGTAAGTAAATTACTAATTTAAAAGCTTCCCCTATTTAGCTCACATGCCCTGGCTCACATCGTTTCGACAACCAGCAAGGACTAGCTCAATACAAGATTGCGATAGTAATTTGGCACTTGAGCCCAACTTGAACTCACCAAACCTAGGTTCATCTTTGATTGTTGACTTGTACAAGGATGATAGTGAATATACGATTAATGCATAAGACACAACCCTATCTTTCATAACAGATTCTCATTCATGTGACAATTGACATGTTTGGTGCACGAAGAACTGCTTCCAGTTCAAAATTGAATTTACTTGTATCAACCTTCTGACTAGTTGACGACCTATAATGTTAGTATAAATAAGAAAAGATAATAAATTCAATCATGTCTAGATATAAATGACAAGTCTTGCTTAGTAAGAGAAAAGTAGTTTGTACAGGAACAATTTTTCTCGATTAAGTGTAGCCACATATTACAAAATTGAGCTAGCAGCCGTGCATGCGTCCCTTTCGAGGTTTCCCCAAGTGAATTTTCGTATATGAAGAGCCCTTTATTTTTTGGAATGATGTCAAAGAAATAAATTAGGTATATCATTTTTGGGCATAGCGAAACTTCTCAAAATGATTGATAGAATTGCAAAGACTCGATAACCACCTGTTGTGACGTTACGACTCGAGAATCTGACTCAACAATTTGATTTTCAGTTGAAAGTATTCGAAATTAATCTTTGTTAGCACTATAGTTTCATCGATTCTGATTTGATACATTTGTTCACCCCTAATACAATAAAAATGAATAACTTAGACCTCAATCCCTTTTATTGTTTGAGCCCCATTATATAAAAAAATCGTTTTTCAAAACTTATTTTCAATTGCAAATTTTTCAATAAAATAATATTACACATAAATCGATAATTTTTTTTTCATTTTTAAATTTACATTTTTCAAAAATCACTATTTAGAGATGCATTTTTCTCTCAAAGTGGGGCTCAAACAATGGAATTTCGAAAAAGACAATTGATTAATGAGATTGACGGGACCATTATTTCCTATTCTTTCCTACATGTTTCCTATCCTCGTTTTCTACGGCATTAATTAATTTCTGCCGAACATCGTAGAAAAACTAAGTCAAGTATTGACTATGAAAACTACGTCGTCCCTAATGGCTGGACCATGATTCTTGACTTACATGAAATCATTGTTACACTTGTCACAAAAAATTGTGGTTGCAGCCTCGATTTTTATTAATAAGATAAGATTATCAAATTTTGTGGAAAAGTCTATCCCTCTCCCATAGATTAACCCTAAACTCCCCTACACTTAAACTCACAGCATGAGAAATTACTTCCTCCGGCAAAAAAAAATGAAGATTTTGGTATTGGTTTTCTTGTGCCTCTCGTCCCCTATGGGTACATTGGCTCAAGGAGGGGTGGGTCTGATAATAAGCAAATCCCTTTTCGATCAAATGTTGAAGCATCGCAACGACGCAAATTGCCCTGCAAATGATTTTTACACTTATGAAGCTTTCATAGCTGCTGCTAACTCCTTTGGAGCTTTTGGAACCACAAGCAATAATGATACTCGAAAATGGGAAATTGCTGCCTTCTTGGCTCAAACATCTCATGAAACTACATGTTATATTTAAATCGTGCATATGCATGCATGTTTTGTGAGCAGACTACACATATCGAGTGGAACATGGTAATAAACGTACCCTTCGTGTTCGAAACAATATTTTACTAATTTGTTTAGGGAATTACACAGGCGGATGGGCTTCTGCACCTGATGGTCCATATTCATGGGGATATTGCTTCAAGCAAGAACAAGGTAATCCACCGGATTATTGTGTTGCAAGCCCGCAGTGGCCATGTGCTCCTGGTAAAAAGTATTTCGGTAGAGGGCCTATCCAGATTTCCTAGTAAGTGTGGTGTAAAACACAAGCATGTTTACCATTTTGTAATAGATAACCACTTGACAAGATCTTTACAATGTTGTTCAATACTACTTATGCAACATGTTATAAATTCTTGTATTATTTCTCGGCTGAAAGTAACGGACATATCTGTATTCAAAATAGTGGGCACTTTCTCAATGTCTTGAATTATGTATTGCAACAATTACAACTATGGTCCAGCAGGAAGAGCCATAGGGTCTGATTTGCTAAACAACCCAGATGCAGTTGCAAATGATCCCAACCATTTCATTCAAAACTGCATTATGGTTTTGGATGACACCACAAGGACACATCCTACGTGCCACGATGCAATCAGTGGGAGACGGACACCCTCGACCGCAGACTTAAAAGCTAGACGAAGGCCTTGTTACGGTGTCGTTACCAACATCATCAATGGCGAAATTGAATGTGGTAAAGGTTTAAACCCGCAAGTGGAAGATAGGATTGGCTTCTACAAGAGATATTGTGACTTACTTGGAGTTGGCTATGGCCCTAATTTGGACTGTTACAGCCGAAGGCTCGTTGATAAGTGTGTTTTGCGCACTTAATGATGACATAAAATAGATTGATTGTTGTTATAAAAGGCTCGAAAA